CCCCAAAACCCCAAAACCCCAAAACCCCAAAACCCCAAAACCCCTTCATTTTACATTCAGATTGAGAAATCAGTAAGGTTCAGAAGAGGTTTAAATACTCCAGCTATTTTTCCTTCATGTTGTAGCTAAGGTGGCATGTTTGAGAATTCAGTCGGTAGTTGAGCTCCATTTCTTTCTCCTTTAGCCTTTGAATCTCCTGATCTTTTTGGAGGAGAAGAGCTTTCATGTCTTCATACTCTTTTACCATCCTTTGATTCTGTTTGTACAGCTAAACGTTGTGAAGAGATCTTACTTCAAGTTTGCTGAAGAGAATCCGGACTGCTTTATTTAAGTATCAGATTATCAGATGAAAGCTTTCAGACTGGCTTTTTGAATTTTTGCTTAATTCTTCTTTCAGATTCATCTAAAATTGGGCATTATTTGTAGTTCATACCTTTCACGTATTCCATTGCCTTGTTGATCGAGATTAGGCAGGAATCAAGGTCTTGGGTGTTCTGGAGCTCTTTTAGGAGTTCCTCACATACTATTTGGATGTAATCCTCCATCTCTAGATTACCAGTATTCGTGCTACCTTGATCTGGACTATTTAGAATTCTTGTCCTTTTCTAAATTTTGATAAATACTGAATCATTTTACGGGAAATTTGTGTAAGCGAATTTTACAGAACTTACTCTTAATAGACTCAGAATTTTGGTTGCTCTGGCTTTCTGATGTGGAAGACTTAATTTCATCATCTGTAATACTCAACTTCTCCATTGCATGAAGAATATCAGCGTCTAATTCTTCGAGAGTTTTTGCCACAACTTTCTCTTCAAGATCTTCATGGTCTTGAAGTGTTGTTTGGAGTAAATTTTCGTGACTGGCTGAGCCATTCAGGACTGTATGTGAAGTATCAGCCAAATTATATTCCATATCAGGATCAAATCCATGTTCGTTTCTACCCTGGAGATCATAATTGCGTTCCATTATTTTTATTAAATTATAAAATATCTAATTTTTTAGAGTTATTTCGGACATTTTCTTGCTCAATAATTTCATTGAACAAAGGGGTTTTGGGGTTTTGGGGTTTTGGGGTTTTGGGG